CAGGTTAGAACAAGAGCAAAGACATGGACATATATATATATATATATATATGGCAGAAGCACAAAGGAACATCAAAGGCATATGAGCACTATATTGAGGTGATGGATATTAGAGGTATGTTTAGTTACCGCAGATGATGCAATGATTATAAGCGATCATAAAACAATATGGGCGTAATAATACATACAGTATATGGGGTAGCAGTATAGTGGTACGATATGTATTTATCGATTAGTATTTAGAAATAGATGTCAGGTACAACACAAAAAGATTGCCATTAAACCCACCACAAACCGCATCGGAGGGGCCAAACCTGTATGTCAAGTTTTAAAGGCTTGGCATAGCAAGGTTTTGGTCATCTACCACAGTTGTCTAGAATATTGCTCAACGGCGATTACTGAGGCCTCAGTGGCATGTAGTACGGAGACAGCAACATGGGGAATTGTACGTGAAATATAGATGCGTTGGGCAACAGGATATACGAGTGTAGTACCGATGCATACACGCATTTAGGTTTTCGGTCACGATTTAGTGTATTGTTCATCAATGATAGTATTAGTAACACACAGTAATTGGCGATGATCGTTGTGTGATCTCTGAGTAATGGAAACGACGAATGCCCAACGTGTTGCACGTAAGACATGTGTTGTACAACGAGCATCGGGTGTGTAATTGACCAGCACGAGTAGGGTGTTCTGAGGACACAGCAGAGGGATGTCAGGCAGAGATAGAAGATGAGCAGCTAACATGTTGACTACCGGGTCGTTCCGGTGCCACGACAAGACCACAATTGAGACTTGGAACTCGGTCACAAGCTCCGCAACTCCACCGTACAGGAGTGGAGTACTCGGAGGCTAATTAACGGGTAAGATCTTAGACGTGCGCAGTACTCCTGAACAAGAGGAATATCATAGAAGAATATTCAAGTCGATCATGAACTGGTAAGAGCGAGCACATGCGGCGACGATATGAGTACATCACGCCAAGGTGCGAGTCGAAATGACTGAGCCCTGGTCAAGGGTATCACTCGTTGGATATTCGGGTGTACGGGGGTAGAGCTTGAAGCAACTACTAGGTATTTAATTAACGGACCCGTGTCTGTATTACTATAAATACGACGTGCGCTTTCATCTTACAACCCATACATTTCTACGACAATCCAAGTGATACCTCAACCTCCTCGACAATGCCCAGCGCTCACCATAGCCGACGCATACAAGTCCTCAGTCCGGAACGTATTGTCGAAGACGATATCGACCGACGGGCACCAAGCATCGACGCTCCAACTCAGTAATCAACCCTAATGACAAGGACAATGCTGGAATGCATGCAGTCAACTCAGACATTTGTCATAGAACCTACCGTGCCTATGTCACAACCAAAGAACACCAGGAGGGAAGTGCAGCACCAGCTTCCGCACGTTCAGCAACCTCCGGGCACGAAGTAGTATATGCTACTCCAGACCATGAACGTATGGTAACCTCTGACGGACATGCGATCCGGGAGCAAGTTAGTATACTTGGTAACAATGTAGGGGGTACTAGCTCGTCCCTGGGTCCGCCTTCGGGGGATCCCCGCCTACGTCCTCCGATGGAGCAAACGCCACGACCGACGCTCAGTAGAGCAGCAGGTACCGATAGCGACTAACCACTACGGCAGCCATCTACCAACGAAGCTGACGTCTCAACACGTATCGAGGTACCTCGTCGCCCACCTATTCGCAAACGTACACGCCGTAATACCAACCAAGGCAAGGTATTGAACGGAAGCATAATACCTCGCGGCCGTAACGGTAGTACGTTACCTCACACACGTAATACCGGCGCAGCCCCCACACTCGGACGGGGTGAAATGAAAGAGTTCTTAGTTACACAGCGATCAATGTTCAACCAATTCGACCAACAATTAGCCCGCTTGTCTGCGTAGCAGCCAACATGTTTCCAGTAGAGCCTAATACTTAGCACAATCGCTGTCGTCCATCAGATGGCGCAGACGAGACTCCAGCATGTATCCCAGAGTCTAAGCGTAAGCACCATGGACTATGGTACGAGTCTCTAGACTCAGACAATCAGAATCTTACAAGTGAGACCGGATCCTTACGAGATTTCGCACACCAGGAGGTACGTGCGAAGGGAAATCCGCATGGGAAGGAAGCGCTGGAGAACTTGTATGACCGACTGCATACCAAGGACCGCAAACAACAGCGTCGTAAGATATTCGTACACGAAGCTGTACACGAAGCGCCTACGAAGAAGGGTACGCCGAGTCAGGTACGCAATCCGCACGCGCCCAGGGCATGTCCCTTAAAACCCCAAAGGACGCGTTTCGGCAAAGGTGAAGATGCAACAGCGGTAGCGAGGGTCAGATGATCGTCTTTGTGTGCGGACGGGCAATGTCGAAAGTCCTGATTTCTGAAGTTGAAGGACAGGACGACAACCCGGATGAACCAGTAGCTACTACAGCGGACCACATAGTCGCTATGCAGAAGCGCTGGCTTCATACCAGGCCAGGGCGCCGGTTGCTGAGTTGGGTGTTTCCAGGAAGTCCCACCCATCGATGGAGCAGGTTGGCGAGCTGGCGAGGGCTGTCAGCGAAACTAGGGAGGAGGCGCCGGAGCCCCAGGGTCCGAAGTAGCGGGGACCCAAGACGGCTCTCTAAATGTACTTTGAAACTTTATTTGAAAAAGATTGAGAAAGAAATTGAATATGTAAAAGCCGAGCCTCCACATTAGAATCTTGTAATATAAACGTACTCTTAATAGTACGTAAAACGTACTCTTAAAAGTACGTAAACTCTTAAATGGGTTTTAACGGTTTTTATTAATTAAATACCTTTTCCAATTTACATATCAGATATTTGGACAAGGCCATTAAAAGGCCCCAGTAAAATACCAAATATAAGATTTGGTCTAGTTCGTTTAATAGCTATATTAACCTTCCAAATCTATTTATATCTGAATACTTCGGTAGCGGGATGGCTCAACCGAACATAGGTTTCTAAGGGCTATTAGCGTTGCTTAGTTTATCCTCCGTTCAAGTTATTGGTTAATGCAATAACTATGGACATCAAGAGTATTTTTCTTTTTTCTTCTTCTTTTTTTCTTCTAAAGTTTGGATTTTATGAGTCTCTCGGATTCGCCCCAACGAAACTTAGAGCGACAACGAAACACTAAACAAAATCCCTTCGGCGAAAACAATTCTGAGAGGATTATATATAGGCAATGTCTCAGCCTCACAATCCCTGAGAGTATTGCTGTTTTCACGAGGCATACTTAACTTTACTAAAAGACTCATTTCGTTTATTTACATTGAATTTAATTATACTTAGACTTAACCTAAGCGTTTTATTACTCTAAGGCGTTAATATCGCCTTGATAGACCGAAACTTACACATTTTAAAATTAGCAAAGGTATTAACTACATAGACTACTTGAACGAAAAGGTAGATAACTACCACGAAATTTTCCTAAGCACAGGCATTCCTTAAGAGAAAAAGACTGAAGTCATAAGTTAAGATTATGACAACGAAAGACAATACGCCTGCAAAGAAACGCAAGGCCGAACGTAAGAAGATGGAGATAGAAGCCGCTAACGCTGCCGCAGAAGCAACCGCCGCCGCTGCCGATGCGTTTAACCGCACCGTAGCCGAGGCACTTGTCTCCGACAATAATAGTCAGGACAATGCTTCGGATAAGGATGTAGCCACTCCGATTAACGAGACTACTCCTACAGTTAGAGCCCGAGGGCCAGCTATTGCCTCAACTTCGAAGCTCACATTTACGAAGCCAATAAGTGAGACAAGGGGCACGTCTCAAGACGCCCCACCCAATTCTTCTGACGAAACTCAGAAAGAAAAGTCCCCAATTATAAGGGACAAAGACGAATCTCAGAAGGTACCTATACCGGAACCAGAAGAAGAGGCAAGCTCAAGTGGCAAACCTGAATCTACGTCCGAGACCACTGAGCCAACGCGCATAAGTAAGTTAACTACTGAAAACACTGATCTTAAGAATCAGTTCGCCACCCTTATGAAAGGCATGACTGTTGAACATGTAAATCGAATGTATGGATCAGGAAAACACGCACAGCGCTTACGCGAGCATGTTTCTCCTGGCACTACTGAAGCCTTACAGAAGTAGACAGAACGTCGGCTGGCAATCACGCCCAAAAAGCGTAAGGACCTGAGCGCCAAACCTGTGGCAGGTGACCCAGATGTGCTCAGCGTATCTATACCTTACGAGGTACTACCACCAGAACTCCAGGCTAATTATTCGCCTGTTCTAACACCCGGACATGAGTCGCCTGTCCTTGAGGGTATTATAGACCCAGAGGCAGGTAGAAACACTCCGCCACCTTTACCCAACTGGGATGACAATCGTCGGAAACCAGTTAAGACTGGGTATGTCATCCAGACACAGGAATTACCCAAGATCATAATACCAACGACTATCCAAGGAACAGAGCACCGAAAGGCCTCGACCATGGACTTTACACTGGGTAACAAACGCTCCCGTAAACGTGTTAACGATGTCGAATTTAATCGCTTCGATCGCACCGCCTTACACCAACCCGCAGAAGATTTTCACTCTGACGAGGTGACCGAACTTAATAAATAGGTCGACGATTACACCATTAAGATGGAAATCGCCCATGAAGAGCACCGTGCCGAGGACGTATCATATTTTGCTAATATGATTGCGATCAAGCAGAAACGCATCGATCAGCTACTTCAGGCCCAACGTGGACAAGACCACCGGGATAACCAGAAGTACAAGGGACAAATCAGTCGACTAAAGTCGAACTGGGATGCCAACAGTAAGCAGGTCGAGTTTATAAACAACCATGACCTCGACACGCTAACCCGTACGCTAAATGCGTTTACGGTCATGCTGGAGACGAATGGTATCGCTCCCCAGCAATGGATTTCTGCTTTAATACAGTCGTTTGACCCTACAGGAACAAGTTACTTGATCCTGCAGCGACACCAGCATGAGCTAGACACTTGTCGTGACTGGCCAGCTGTGTGTTGGTTGGTTACGTCCTTATTAAGCAAGGACATGCGCAGCCCAGAACTGAGTTCAATCTGAACTGAACCAGTCGAAAATACTTCTATTCAGAGTTACATTCTGAAACTTGATGCTGATCTTGAACGTCCAGATATAACAAAGGACAAGGCTCAGTGATGGTACGAGTTCCTGGTTCTGCATGTTTTCTGTAAGATCATAAGAACAACGACCGCAAAAGTCTGTACACCGAGTTGAGACGTAAGTACGCAACTGAGGCTCGAGACAAGGGACATGAAACGAAGTTTCATCTATCCCGACTTACGTGGGAACAGTTTTATGATACTGTATCCACTCTTTTCCCCGCACACCGAATAACCTCGAAGGGAAAGGCGGTAAATTAAAAACTGCGCGAGCTCCCTGATCAAGGATACCTCTCACGCCAGACGTCAGATGATAAACCTCATCAGACGCGTCCTAACCAGACACGTGCTCGCGACTCTACTCAATCAACGCGGCCCAAAAAACGGGCACACGCGGAGCCGAAGGACAAGGAACCTCCATATAAGGAGATTAAGAAATGTGCCGACGCACAGTGTGGGTATGACATGTACCAATTGACCCTTAACGGTTATTGGAACGGCAGACATGCACCCACCTGTACACACATTCGTACGAAGTGTGACAAGTGTGAGAAGACCAATGGCTATCACGCCAAGTCTTACGACAAAAAGCCCGACATTAAGTTGGAGTGAAAGTACTACCAGGTACAATCGTTACAAAGAAAATATAACGTCTCCTTAGATGAGCGTGTAATAATCCCTGTATATTGCAACGAAAATAAAGTCCTTGCATTGATTGATTCTGGTTCAGAAATTTCATGTTTATCCGACCGCTTTGCATTAATGAAAGACATTGAAAGGCGAATTCGAACCACTCACCTAATTTTAACAGATGATAAAACTTCTAAGTCTGATACCATGGCCACAGATGTTAAATCTCCCTGGCCGATGATAGAAATATCACGACTCAAGCTGTGATCGTTAAGATGTCACAGAAGTACGACACTATAGTCGAAATGAGCGATTTGCTTACGTTAGGGATAACCGTAACAGGCTTACCCAACAACATAGATCCATTAAAGGATCAGTCAGACGATAATTGTCTAAACCCATATTCACCACCATCGGACACAGTCAAGATATTAATTCCTGGCTTTGCCGATAAGATAATGGATCTTATATTAGTAAATAACAAAATCAAAATAACCGACTGGGCAAAATTACACTTCAACGACGGATACGTCAGCCTTGACTTAACCAAGGTAGACTTTACTAAGTTCAAATGTCCTTCAAGAAACTATGTTTCTTAGAGACACGAAGCTGTAGTTAAAGAACAAGTCGAGAAATGGTTATCCGATGGGGTAATCGAAATCAATTACCAACAAACGCCAGTTAACTCAGCATTATTGGCAGTTGATCAACACAACTCTGACGGAACATTTAAGAAAGTCGGAGTATGTCTAGATACGAGTCCAATAAATAAGTTATTGCCGACTCATAGATTTCATCTCCCTCGTATAAACGAGTTACTGAGACGAATGGAAGATGCTACGGTGTTTACATCCTTAGACTTAACACAGGGGTATCATCAAATGCAAATTTATGAACCCCATCGTAAGTACTTTAGTTTTACCTGGAAAAGTAAACAATACAGGTTTAGAGGTGCACCTTTCGGTTTGCACTCCTTACCAGCATTCTTCCAACTAGTAATGGAGGAAATGTTTGCAGACATGCCTAACGTGCAAGTCTATATATATGACATAGTCATCTTTTCTAAAAATAAGGGCGAACATGCCGCATTAGTCAGGCGAGTTCTTCAGAGACTCAACGAACAAAACTTCAAGATTAACGAGAAGAAATGTCACTTCGCCATGAGCGAAATACAGCTCTTAGGCTATCATATATATGGGGAAGGTATTGAAATCGACACCGGAAATCGACCCCGATAAGGTGGAACACCTGTTAGATTGGCGAAAACCAACTACAGGAAGAGATGTGAACAGCAAGTGTGGGTTTGTAAACTTCTTTTCAGATGGAGTACCACACTTGGCTGATTATCTTAAACTCTTTGGACACTTAAGATGTCATAAAGGCAAACTAAGAGACTTGTGGACTAACGAGTGTGATGACGCATTTAAAGCGCTCAAGCACGCAGTCCAACAAGCCCCTGTTGTACAAGGACCTGTCGATGGCGTGCCTTCTGAAATAGCAACGGACGCATCAGACTTAGCACTTGGAGGTGTATTATACCAGGTTATAGATAATAAACCTAGGTATATACAATTCGTTAGCCGAGCAATGAATG